TGAATCCTAAGCTGTCAGGTTAGACTTCTGTGCTCTTCTATGGGCAGCCTCGTGGGAACTGCAGAATATGGCACAAAGGATTATCTTGTACATCTCTCCCCTTCAGGTGGGAAGCAGCAGGACTGAGTGTTCAGAACCTGATAGGAATGTAAGTGTAATGTACATCTTGTAACCCGGGACAATGTCATTATTCCAGGTGACTTTTGATATAATGCCATTATATGCTATATCTTCTGCCAAACTATGGTAAATCAATAATTTTATCTACAAGTAGGAAACCTTGGATTTTATTCTCCCAAACCAGTCTCATTTCTAGAGAATTAATTACCAGGAATTTTCTGAATAGTTCCTGATATTTAATATAGCCAACAGTGTTAATAATAGTTTTACCGCTTTAGGACTTTGTTATTGAACTAATATAGGTATTTTTATTTTTATTTTATTTTTTTTTTAATTGGGATTTTAATGTATCCTGGAAGCTATTTCTTACTGACCATGTAATGGTATTTTAGAAACAATACATTCAGCAAGTTGCTGTATAACTTGAAATGAACAGGACTTTCATTCAGTCCTTTTTGGCTAAAACCAGCTTTCATACCCAAGTTAGAATGGCATCTGTACTACTATATACATATTATATTAATGCTGAAATAAACGACAAAAGTTACCTGAAGTCATATATAATCAACAGACATAATAATTTGACTTTCCCATTCATAAAAGTAACAATGCTCACTTTTTAGCAATGTGGTACTCATCCTATTTTCACATTGTCAGCACTGGGTGGTATATGAGATGATATAATCTAATACAATAATGCTTCCTGTCATAACTGTTTTTAGCAAAATAAAATTATCAATGCCAAATAGAAAGATGATATAATTACAGTAAAGCCTATATTTATCATTGGAAGTCCTTCATGTATTCAAGTATAGAGACCAGAATTAAATAAAGTGCTCAGGATTGTGTGCAAAAGGGATTTGTGGACTAGGGTTATTTATTTAGTACTCAGAATTCAATAACCATTCCATAAGAAGAGAGCAAAGCATGACTCTTTTCCCATACCTATTCAAATCTAAAGTCTGAGTCCTGGAGACACTTTGTAGGTAGTGTGGAAAGTCATGAGACCTGATCCTCTATTCATGTAAGTCACCACGTCTTCAGTTTGTGCGAGCTGAGGATCATGCTCAAAAGATTTAGTCACGAGAACAGGTGTTTCCAGGGTAAAGGGGTCTAAACTAGATAACCTTTAGACTTTTAGACTCCATAGCTCTGCATAAGGAACATCTTCATTTCTCGGCAGTGCACCTTGCTGTTTGTAGTGCAGTGCCTCTGTGTTAATATCAAAGAGCCTTATGGAAGAAATGCTTGTGGGAACCCAGTGCAGTTCTTGCTTATGGTGACAAAAGGTTCAGGCTAACATAAGAGAAAAAAAAACATGCAGAGACACAAAATCAGATGCAGGGGGTTTTCTGGAGGTTTTTTTTTCCTCTTATGTGGAAGAATGAAAGCCTATGCAGAGGCACTTATGCTAGCGAAGCCGTTGTCCTTTTTGCCATCTGTGATTCTAGTCAGGAATTTGCTGATAGAAACAACATGTGAATTAGATGGGTTGGTGGTGGAGTTGTGTTTACCGTAGGTTAGGCTTGTATTCCACTGAGCTCCCCAGGCTTCCCTGTGGGTTGCAGGGCTGTCCAGAATTTTTCTGGCACTGTGTCCGCACTCCGTGTGTCTCTCCTGAGCCCCCTGGCAGAATGGGGTTGTTTCTGCATTGTGCCTGAGGCAGGGAAATGCTCCTGTAACCAGAAGTGGGGCTTTTGCTGACTATTTCACAGCACCTGTAAGGGCATATAATGAAAATGAGACTTTTCTATCATTTAAAATGGCTAACTCCGGCCACTTCTAAATTGAAGTTTTCCTTCTGATAATGTGTCATGGCTTCCTAGGAACTATAAATTAAATTTAAATTCTAAAGAATTTGCACCAAGTCATTCACTAAATTGATTCTGAAGCTAGGTATCCTGAATCTTCATTTCTTCTTCTGAAATTCATCCAATATCATTGCGGCAAAGCAAAGAGAAAGGAAGCTACCCAAACACTGTCCTTTTCTGAGGTTCTGTTCATTGTCAGGTTTATGAGCCATCAGCAGTACTAAGAGCCTGTAAAGAACTTTCTGTTCCAGCAGACTTGGTACACAGATGTTGTGTACAGGTTTTTCTGTAATGAACGTATAAAAATTTTGAAGCAGTGTACACCAGTGTTTCATCTGTTTTTACTGGGAAGTTCCAATCCTGGGATGTGGCTGAAGCTTATTGCAAAACTCCCATGCATTCATGAGGACCAGGATCTGGCCCTGTACATGCTTACCTTTTTTTTGTCTCTTCAAAACTGTAATTGACTGATAGAGTGACACAAGCTGTGTGTGGTGCTTGGAGGCTTACAGGGCCCACGGAGCTTGGAAAGGTATGCATGCCCTGTGTGTGTTACGCTACATTGCGTGTAACAGGCATTGCACATATGTACCACATACAATATGCAGCTGCTTTCCAAAGAACCTCTTGTTCACAAGACTACAAATGTTGGAGTGAAATCATCATTTGTGCTGAGATTAACCCCACTGGCTGCAGTGAGCAGCTCCAGAAGCTCAGTTAATACTCAAAAATTGGCCCAATGATACAATTTTAGGAATGAGCCAGCAAGTTGGATTCACATAGAATCAGTTTTATTGCCAGGTAAGAAATTCATATTAATATAGTGAATACATGTTTACAAATAAACATTCTTAAAAAACAAACAAACATTTTATTGTAGGAAGTATTATTGGTATCATAAACTCTGTAGTTAACAAGTATTAACACGGGTTTACTTACAGAACATACAGTTACTAAAATATTTCCACATAAAATATGCTCAAGTTACACGAAACCTGTGTGAAATAGAGTGCAGCTGTAATGTGTATCTAAAGCATATGGATTAACAGCAACATTCCATAAAGGGTCAAATTAAGTCAGCCAGTTGTGAAGGCAAGAAAGATAAAAGGAATAAAAGTAAGATAGTGGAGAATCTGGGTTGTGTGCAAAGTATTTGTCCCGTGGGCTTTGTCCATTTCAGATAGTCTTAAAATATATGATCATTCAATTTAGCAGCACACTTATGGAGAGATGCCGGTGCTCTCAGGATGCAAATCAATCTCGATATAGCTAAAAAAATGGTCTCTCCATTTAACCACGTTTCAAATTCTTAGCCCTTGCATCCTGGACTAAGAAGACGCACTGCCAGTCAGTTGAGTACAGTAAGAAATGCCACTTCCAGTTCTTCTTACAACATAACAGTTCTCACTGCTCCCTGCATACTCTTCCAAAACTAATCTCCAGAAGAATTGACAGCTGGTGAGAACACAACTGTAGTAAGATAGCTAGTTAGGATTTAGCCAAATGACTTGTGTTGGGGGAAGGGCAGGAATTTAAGGGAAAGACTGAGTGCGTTGCCTACCATCAGGCTGTTGCAGCACTGCCATCCTATCCCAACTCTGGTTATCTCTCTGTGGATGTGCCGAAGCCTTTACAGGCCCAGGACTGCAAGTCTGCTACCAGGGCCCAACTTAAGACTGGTTTTACTCATACAAACAAGGCATCCTGCTCATCAGAACCACAGTCAAGACCACGAGTCCAATTGTTTGTTTAGTTTAAACCCAGATCTCTTTGACATTTGAGGCTAGTCCGTTAGCCTCTTCCACCAAATAGTCCACCAAGAGGGAACGCCACTATAGAAAGCCAAACGATAGAGACAATATACCATATAACATTTAGTTGAACTACAAAGAACTACCATGGCTAAAAGCAAATACAAAATGAGAGACTAGAGGGAAAAAGTTTAAATTGGGAAAATGGAGGGGCTAACTAAAATAGTCTTGACTGTGCAACCACTGCATGGAGATGTAGTCCAGTTTCCCTTCGGGACAAACAGAGGAGGCTGAGCAGGGTAGAACCCTTGTCATCCTTAGCAAAACATGAGGAAATAGCTTAAAGGAACAGAGGGGTCACTTTGAGAAACAAGACTGTCATTGAACAATAGTAATACAGTAAAGGCACCACCCACGCTTAATTTCAGTCTGAAGCAGTTGAAGATAGGCAAAACATTTAGGTGAAGAAGAAGTCCTGACAGTCTGCAAAGTGAGAATTGTTACCATCTGCCTGAAAACAGGAGGACTGAGAGGAAATATTCCAATGCCCTTATTCCCCCCGCAGTTTTCTGTGTCCTGTGATATGTCTCTTCTTATTTTGGAGGTTCCCAAAAATTTCAAATCAAACGAAGTAAACTGAAATAAAATCTTCTGCTGTTTGTTATCATCCTGCAGAATTCTCTACCAGCCAGAAAGGTCCCATATGCTCTTAATCATAACAGGCTTCATAAATTCCTTGCGAAAGAGTCTTTGTCCCTTATTGTATATATATTTTTTGCGCTTTCTATAGGATGGTGTGAAAGTACAATAATAGATGTTAGGGTTTGTACCAAGATATTTGCTCTTGGCTTTTCACAGGTCTAGTGATTATTAATAGGTTGTATAGAAAATTCCTCTCTGAAATAATATATTACAGTGTATCGTTCTCTCTTTCTTCCTCTGTCTCAAGGCAGGAACATAGTGTAAATGTTTAAGCAGACATAAGGTTTCTCTAGATTGTGCTACTTCTCATCATGGATTTTAGTTTCAAGTAAAAAAATTTAGTCACAAGGGTTTGTGTTCCATTGTGAAATACAAATGGAGTTTATAATTCAACCTTCAGTGTGTATTGCTGAATGGTATTAACCCACTCTTCGGCCTACAGTTGGCTGGTTACCAAGAGTGTCCAGGTAGTTCCTTCCTTCCGTTTGCTTTTTTTATTTTTATTTTCTATTTTTAAATTTATTTTTTGCCTTTCAGTTGAGTGTTTGTGTTGTGTGTATATTTGCGTGTGGTTTTTAAAGGATTTCATTAAAAAAAAAAAAAAAAGAAAACAAACTCAAACAGTTACTTCTGTCTTGCTGTTAGTTATGAAGTATGGCTGTGGGCCCAAATAATGCTGGCTCCGGGTTGTCAGTGGGTCGCTTAACGTTGGGTCTCCCATACCATGCTTCCCCTTGTTTGTGTATGCTTGCCGTCTAAGCGACTGGTCATTGGGATCCCAGGTCTTGTAGTGGGAATTGTAACCTAATGGGTGTGTGTGGATCTTTGCAATTTTGGATTTCTGCCCATTCTGTTTGGTGAGGCCACTGTCAATTGTGTAAGCTCTGTCTTCATCTAGGCGCACTGGATGGAGTGGCAGGCTCCCCTTGGCAGCCAGTTCTGCAAGATGTCGGCGTTTGGTGTAGAAGTCATCGTTGACTTTGTCAGCTATTTGGATTTAAAAGGGGGAGGGGACAAAAAAATCAGTTAGACACAAGAAAAATGTTACACAGTTTATAGTAGGTCATGCACAATTGCATCTGTGGACCAGATACAGTTACAGGTATGTCAGTAGGAGAAATCCATGCCACCTCCCACCCCTTATTTTCTCTCTATAGTATATTTTTGGATGCCATTATGCTAGGCTTTTTTGAATATGCAGACAAAACCCGATGCCCTTTAACAACAGGCTGTCCCTGCCCCAAATCACTCAGGTTGTGTTGATATTCACATTATGGGGACAGGTCCTATGAATCTCACTGCTGCTCATCTCACATAACATAGGAAGCTTAGGAAGTGTTCAGAAGTATACAGACTTGGAAATATTGGGGCATCTTTGGGATGCCCTGTTGTATGAGAGCACATCTCTTGAAACGCAAAGTGTCACGTGGGTGTTTAACCAAGCCAGTTGTAAGGTCCAGTGGTGTACGAGGTGGATCCGTTTGTGTTGAATAATGCCTTAGCGCAAAATGAAAAATGGGATCTGTTCCACATGGTTAGAAGTTCACTAATGCTTTGTGGGGCTGAAAATACTTTGGGTTGCTGAAGGTTAGGTATATATCCTGTGATTTTACAGACAATGAAAACCCTAAATTCCAGGTTCTGACATCATTTTCTGGGGCCAGTGCCACTAAGAAATACAGCAATAACCCTGCCAACAAATACTGCATCGCAATTCTCAATTTAGGATTTTGCCCTCTGCACTTTTCTGGACAAGTGTCTTCTGGTGCATGCTTTTGCTCAGGCTTGATTGTTGTCATTGCTGGCATTTATTTGGCCTTGCTTAAAAGCGTGAACCATGCTCAGGAAGCTGAAGGCATTCTGCAGCAGTCCAGCAACTCATTTAAATGTTGAGACTGAGTATCAGGGGTTTAAGGGGAGCCTAACTGAATTTCATTTTTTAAGATCTTGCCTTTTATGTAAAGAAGGTTTATTTACCCACTTCAGAAATCTAGATTTTGATTTAAGATAGTGCCAAATATGTAAATCTACTAACATGGTGATGTGTTAATCAGCAGTGGCGTGCTTTGAATATATGATTGCGTCAGCCTGGATTTGACTTTTGCTGTGCCTTGGCTAGATCCATCCATCTTCCTTGAAGCTATGCCATGTAAAGCTTCTCTGTGGAAGTCTTGTACAAGTAGCTGTCTGTACAGCTCAGCTCCTCTTGCCTTCGTGATGAGTAGATTTTTAATTCCCTGCACTGTTTTTGTTTATTTTCCTTCTTTTTCTCTCTCCCCAGTATTGCTAGGAGGCTTTTGTTGCACTCTGAATTTTCTCCTTCTCTCTGGTTCTGACGTGGATCATTATGCAAGGTGGTGAAATTCCCATAAGCACCACATTAATCTTCAAGATCAGGTTTCAGTTCTGCATCCCCCTTGTCCTGGCCCCTCAACAGGGAGAAGTATTACCAAAAGCAGTTGCTGTTTGTCATCTCATCACAGTTTTTGTATAATGACTGTCTGACTGGACTTTGATTTTAAATCCTTAATTTTGTCATTAAAGAGGCGTTTCCTCTTCGATGAACTGAAATTGTTCTTGTCTCTGCTGTAAAACTAGACTATGTATGTTTTGCTCATCTCCATCCGTCTCTTTTTCTAATCGATGAGTGAATGCTTTTCTATAGCATACGGGTGTCTTCTGTTTTAAACAAATCACAGAATGTAGATAATGGCCTGGCCTAACTTCAGTACAGGATGTGCAGTTGCAATTGCTGATAGACCTGTAATGTGTTACAAAGAGAACCTGCTAAGTTCTGCTTTGATTTTTAGGATGAGTTGTTTTATTTAGAGATCTGTAATCTGTACCTGCTTCTCCTTGGAAGAGCTTTTTCCGGTTCTAAATGTGGCTTGTCCTTTTAATTTCCTAATATTCACCAAATGCCACAAAACAGTATTGTATGTAAGTTGAATAACGACAGGAGGGAAATGCAGTCTGTGTTGCTAATTTCTCAATAATGTTATCAATTGACAAAAACAGTTGTAGAAAAGGCATTGTGAATATCCACACAAGTATTCATTTGTATACATTTTTATATCAAAGGCACTGCAAGTCAGCTGGTTAGGGGAGCAAGCTTCTATATCTTATCACTTAGCCCTTGTCTATATAAGAAGTCACACTAGCTTATGTAATTTAGATTCAGCATAGTTAATTATGTCTACCTCCTAATATAGATACATTTGTCTGCCTATTTCACATTTAAATTGGTTTAATTTGCATAAAAAATTAAAAACTAAGCTAATCTTGTGTAAGGATAGAGTAAAATTGTAAGTTTGTACTCCAATTTGATATTAGTTAAGCTGCAGCAATTTGTCTTACATAACCAAGATCTTTGATGATCAATTACAAGGTAAATAATGACTTCTGTTTAGAAAAATAACAGTGGTGATGTAGTTATGTAAATAATGACCAAAAATTTCAGGTGTTTGCATTGCTTGATTTTTTGTGCCATTTTTCTCTTTTGTATGGCTAAGTGAAAAAGGCCATAACAAGCTCAAGCTACTTCCTTAGATTCTTTTTTTTCTCACTTGCACCTTTTCCCACGGCCAGCGATGGTCCTGGATCTCTGTATTTTGTCAGACATTAGATATGTTACTCAGATCTCCGAACATGTCAAGATCGATGTCCTCACAGAGTAAATTGTATTACTGTTGCATATAAACAACACCCCTACTGTAAAACCTAAGCAAGGAAGATAGCCTCAGAAGGACTGTGCCTATGACACGCCTGTGAGATTGATTTTGCTCTTGTTTATGGTATGTTATATGTAAAATTTTCAGCTCTTTATTTGTTTCTTATGGAAGATAATACAGTAAGTGAAATGATTAGCTCTGTAAATATGATTACATCAAAGCTTCTTTAACTAATTTGGTCCGTAGTCCCTTTCTAGGGACTTCTCAACTGTTGTCTGGAAACTAGGCTTGAAGAGAACAAACCAGGCTTTGGTCTGTAAGTCCTCGTCAGCAAAGTCAAGCAGAAAGCTGGCAAATATATGATGAATGGCTGATTGCATGCCAGTTTTGTGTGGCAGTGACAGTGTGGGAGAGCTGCTGTTTGTATTTTTCTTGATCAAATAATGGTTTGCAGGGTTTTGCCTCAGAATTTTGTTATGTATGCCTAGGAGTTAAATGCTAACAGTGAAAGCCAGCCACTTTATCTAATGTTTTAACCTCTTTAAAATGGTCTTCTTTCAGCATGCACACGCAGGCTTACACATAGGCACGCATACCAGAATTGGGTGGGGGACAATACCATTGTAGCAAATATGGAGCAAAAAAAAAAAAAGCGTTGATAAAACCAAATTGTTCAGTCATTCAAAAGAGCTTGTGGCAAGCCTTGAAGCAGTCCTTATTCTGGCATACTGACTAGATTATAGGTTTTGTCATACCAGTGTGCTATGCCCCAGTGTGAGTGACCTGATGATACTATAGTGCAGGAACAGGTTTTTTTTACTGCTGAATTTCACAGTAGCAATGATTCAGAAGAGTTATATTGAGCATGGTATTGTAACAAATATTTTATCAAGAAAAGCATATCCTGATCAAGATATCAAGAAAAGTATCCTGATGCCAGCTACTTTAAAAACCAACTGTGAATCTCAGGAAGTTCCTTTTTCTTCTTAACCAGCCCGTATAAATATTTTGTGGACTTTAAACATGCGAAGAGACATTTTGGAGTTACATGTGGATTTATTATGTGACCTTGGGTACATGACTCAACTTTCCTGTGTCTTGGTTTCACCAGCTGTAAAATGAGCTCTTAACACATTGGAGGAAGTAGTTAAGTGTTACAAAGATTAATTGCTATTTGTAGAGTATACTGAGTTTTCAGATGAAAGGTGCTATAGAAGTGCCTTTTGCATTGACTTCTGTATATAAATCAGTAAAATAGGATTTAAAGATATTAACTGTCACATTTATGAAATGAGTGAAGAATTAGAATTGCAAAATTGCCAAACGAACAATAGTAAAAGAAGGGCTTTAATTCTCAGTGTTACTCTTTTTGTTCCCTTCCTCCAGTCTTGGCAGATAATTACGCAATTTTTCTCAGTTTCAATATTTTTGTAAGGTTTTTACTCCTTTAAGGTAATGTACCCACAAGTTTAGTTACTGTTGTAGCTGTTCATCTGGAAAAAATGTTGTAATATGAATTTTTTCCAACCTAAAGTGCGTGCCTGGGAGCAGGGAGAAGTTGGGCTTTTGTTCCTGCTGTGCATCAAATGAATAACTGAAAAAATATAGAAACAGTGTAAGGATCAAAAGCAGGACTCCTCCCTCCCAGCTGAGTTCTTAACTATTAAGACAGAGATTCTTTCTCTTCCTTTCTCTTTCTACACTAATAAATCTTGAATTTTCTTCCGCTCCACAGCACAAGTTCATCAGGATGTGAATCTGGGGTGCACCATCCTAGCAGAAGCTGGGATGCACCTTGCTGGGTAGGGAATGTAGATTTAAATCCCACTCCGTTGGAGCAGCTGTACATACGTGAGCCTATCATCTAAAAGGCAGATCGCTCCACTCCTCATGCTTATCTGAATCCAATGATGCCTTACAGTGAAGACAACTGTCTCCTTTATTTTTGATCTTGACTTTGCCAGTACCAGTGTCAGATGTCTCAGATAGGGACCCTTGAGTTATTCCTTGAAATTTGATTTTGAAAGGTGACAGCTACCAAGCTCCTTGGGATAGCAAGGTCATGGGAATGAATGCCTAGGAAAATTGCAGTGAGTTTAGGCTCATTTAGATGAGGTGGCCAGAAAAGAATGAGCTTTCAATGGTATGTTTTTATTCAGGTGTCACCATTCCGCCTAAATCTGTCACTAACAGAGACAAGCTTTGTTTTTTCACTAATTGATGATTTGCCATGACCAAACTTGGAAGTTTCACGTATTTCTTCATAATCCACAGTTATATAACAAAAGCATGTAGACCAGTGAGTCGCTTATAGAC